GAGCAGAAGACAAACAGTAAATATAAGGATAAGAAATACCAGCCAACCAATCTACATTCATTTGGAGCCCCAAAAAAATGTAAAAGAAAAAAGAGAAATATTCACATTAAAAAGCATTATCATATATAAATAAATCATTCATCCTGCAGAGAGAAGCAAAAACAAATGCCAGAATGCGTTAAAAGCAAAGGGAAATGAAAAATTGAATATAGATATTAATGGCAAAATGCAACCATACCACATCAGCAACAACAATTTCTAGCTCGTTGAAAAAGTTCTCTTTGCGACGCTCATATTCTGCAGCAGTCTGGAAAAAATAAATTGTTAAATTACTAGACACGCAATATAACAATTTAAAAGCAAGATAAAGACCAGGGCTTGGAATCAGAAAATTTAGAAACATTACGTAACCATAAAGGTGAATAAGTTGTATAATTTTAGTCCATAAGACATATCAAAATCGTCCAACAAAAATGATCTACTGATGAAAACGAGCAGTATTTCAGTTTCTTTTAATTCCTCAAAAGTTGGATATAACAACCATCTTGCTGACCAACTTTAATTTGATCTTACCTCTTGCACTAAAATGTAGTACCAACTTGATGATTATGAATATCTAAGGTGCAAATAGGTTTGGTTACGATGAGTTACAAAATGGTTTCATAGCCACTTTCTACAAGTGCACTGAGCAGTTCGAACCTATATAGCATGGAGACTGGAGAGTGTAAAATAAGGAAACATACACAACAATGTCAAGAAGACTGAAAATCTCAGAGAAAGTCATTCCCAATTCAAAACAAGGAGCATTTTTTGATATCGACCAAGATCAAGAATTTTGCATTTCCAAATATCAAAATAAAAGAAAAATTCTTCCCCTTGAGGAAAATAGATTCAGAATATGAACTGTAATTGATTTTAAGTGATTATCACTGGAAGAAACAATGACAGGCAATAATGTGCCTGCAGAATCAACATTTGACATTGTTTACCAGGAATGCATGTCTAGCCACTCTCAAAAAATAAAAAATAAAAAATAAATTCCTTTTAACAAAGAAATGCAAAGCTGTGTTCAAATTAGTGGCAACGCCAATGAACAGTGGAAATATCCATTACCGATGTGTGCTGTAAGATAGTATCTTCTGTTTTAAATGACCACTGAAAGTTCACAAAAACCACAAGGAACAGGGTAGTATATCTACTTTGTTAAATAAGAGCTTTTCGACAAGAAGAAGAGGATCATAGGAATGAGAAAGATACGGAGTAAAAACATGGAAAAAGAACTTCCACGAGCATGTGTTCTTTCAAGTTTCCATGATCATTCATTTGTATTGAATCTTTAATTAATAAGGCATTCTTAATTTCTTCTTTTGTTATTAGTGTTTTTTTTTTTTTTTTGTAAATATCTTCAAATCGTCTTTTGCAACAAAACCTGTAAGATTTAAGAAACGTAACTCCCAAAATCTTGAGAAACATGCAGAACTATTGAGAATCGGTTATTTATCACAGGTGATTTTCCTTCTTATAGAATTATTACTTTACAAAAATACTGATACTAGAAATCCAAATGAAAAAAAATAATAATAATAATAATAAAAAAAAATCTATATATATATATATATATATATATGATACATTTTTTAAATTATCACATTATTTATTTACTACGTTGTCAAGGTAAATATGCCAAAGCTTCTTCTAGGCATATTATCAAAATCTACCTCCTAAAATTATATATAGATAGATGTTATACATTTTTTAAATTATCACATTATTTATTTACTACGTTGTCAAGGTAAATATGCCAAAGCTTCTTCTAGGCATATTATCAAAATCTACCTCCTAAAAGTGACACTACTGAACATAATTTATGGCTCCTCTACTAACAATAAATCGATCAAAATACAAAAAAGGCACAATTTAAACTAAGAAATCATCGTTATTAGTGCTGAAAATTGTTTATAAAATATAATTTTTCAAATAACCAGATCAATGTATAACCTTTGTAGCATAACTCATCAATAAAATCAATCAGAGTAAAAAGAATCAATCTTTATACAAATTCGAGCTCCTTTGGTAAAGTTTAAAATCCAATTAAAATTGAAAATATAGCCCGGTCTCACTCGTCTAATATGGCTAATTTTTCAATTTTAATTCGATTTTTATCTCTACCTAACTCGAACAAAGATTTTATTCAATCCTATTGAATTGAATTACCTTTTTGAAAACTCCAACACCACACTCCATGGCAACTTTTGCCAAGAAGAGATCATCAGCCAACAACCGCTCCTTGAATCCACCAAATTTCATCAACCAAGAAATCAAACCAGATTTTTCCAGTTCAAAGTATCGAATCACAATGGATCCAGGTATTCTACCATCTTCTACGGCGGCCTTCAAGTCCTTGGGCAAGTTCTCCAGACCCTTCCCGGCCTCTGCCAACGCCATTAGAGCTTCATCTCTATTCTTCTTCTTGTTACTATCATCATTCCAGTTGTTTCCATTCTCATCTCCACCGCCACCTCCGCTGTAGCTGCCTCCTCCGATTCCTCCATTTCCACCGCCGCTGGAAACGTCGGAGATAATGTTGGCCTTAGTGACGGAGGGATTGGTGGAAAATGGTAAGAATAGGGCACGTTGGTGTGTGGGGGTTATGGTTATTGAGAGTGAAAGGAGAGGGGGGGTTTTGGTGGTGGGGAGGGGAAAAGGTATAGCGGAGGAGGAAGGGTGGCGGTGGTGGTGGAGAGAGAGGAAGCGTGGCGGTGGTGCGGCGGTGTTAATGGTGGCAGAGATCGGCATTGTGCTGATGATTCAAGCCTTTCTCCCTCTAAATCTTTGTCTTATTCCTAAACAGTTTTGGAGGTTGGTGATGGAATGGGTAGTTATGGACTCTTTGGTCTTAAAACTCTTTCTTTTTCTTTTTTATTTTAATTATTTTCAATGATACATTTTGTGGATCAATAATTTTTATCAACTTTTTAACTATTCACTTTATTAATAAAAATCTAATTTTTATCCCATCCAAAACAGTGCTTTATAGAATCGAAAAAGGAATAATTTTCTTCAATCTCCGATCATAGTCCAATCATCCATGTTCAATTGCAACATTGTACATAGAATTGTTTGATTCCATACCCCGAAATCTACATCAAAGACACGGTTCAGTCCGAAGTTTCATAACATCAACACATAGGGATGGTAATGGGACGTAAATGGCCCTCCCCATTTTACGACATCAAGGATTTTAAGGATGCGAGACGTATGGTTGGGATATTTTGCTATCTCTAATCTAAATATATCTAAATTGATTTTATCTTTCACCTCTATTTTCTATTTTGGGAGGGATTCTACATAGATTTACATGGTGTATTTGAATGAGCGATTTTTAACTCACACCCTTTCTTTCTTTGATAGATGATTTCCAAAGAAAAAAGAAAAGAAGTATGGAATTGTAAATCATGATTGAATCTATCGAAACATTGGACTTTACATTTCTCTTTGTCTCAACCTTCTAGTAACTCTTTTACTTCTTTTTCGAGTAAGTCGAAATGGAAATGATGGAAATGATTTTTAATCATCTCAATTGAAGCAATGAGCTTCCCAATATGATCGAGCAACTACTCCATACTTATAATATATGTTTTAAGATACACTTCTTAAATTGAAATTATTCTTCAATCGAGACAGTCTATAATTTTCAGTGGTCCCATGTAGCAATAAAGGTTGAGAATTTTAGTGTGATTGCAATGCAATGAGACGTGTATTGCGGGGCAGTCAAACCCACGGGTCAACGTGAATCACAATTAAATTAGGAAGATACTAGAGGTACATCACCTCTTACATCGGGGCATCCATAATGGACACCCGGCGCCTCCTCGTTGGAGGGAGGGTTGGTGGGGTCGGCACTCCCACCAATGAGAGGGTGCCGGGTGTTCATAGTGGACACCTTGATGTACAAGGTGATGTACAACAAGAATAATCCTTAGGAAAATAGTACAATTACACATGAGCATGGTGATGTACCACTAGAATAATTCATTAAATTATGCCAATGTTTGATGTCAATTATTTTGAAAAAATTGAGTTTTGCATAGTGATATTTTGAAGAATGTGTAGTTAAAGAACAGAAAAAAAAATTTTGAATTTACGTGCAAAATATTTTATTGTGTAAATATGTGATTTAAAATGAGTATGAGAATTAAAGAATTTTGAAATAACGGTTTTCAAACAAGAGCCATATAGGGATATGGCCGTGTGATTCTTTTTAAAATCGATTTTAATATTTTTTTAGCTAAATTCTCTAAATACAAAATGTTCTTTGTTTTAGAGAGCTAGTCATTAAAAATAAGGAAAATGCCATTTGTACATTATGCTTGACATGGCTAGTGTTGATTTGATGAAAAAATGTAAAAAAAGTAAGTGTACAATTATGTGTTGCCCCATGGCAAAATATAAACAATGATATACATGTAACATAATGGCAAAAATATGCTCCAAAAAACTTTAATTTAACTTTTTAAAAATAGAGAGTATGTTTGACTCTTCAAATTTAGAAAGTAAAACTCACACTCTATTCTTAATTTACAATGATTACATTTAATAAATTACAGATTTCAATACTCTACTTCTTAAATTATTCAAATCATATTTAAATTAATTGGCCATTGACATAAAAAAATTATGTTAAATTAAAATATTAGAGGAAATCAATAAATATTTATTGAGAAAAGACAAAAAAGAGCTAAAATAAAGAGCATTGTTGAAGTGCATGCATAAAAATTTTGACTTTCTAAATTTATAAATGCTCTTTATAATGCATAAAATACTCTCTCATAAATTCTGGCATTGTGATTGTTTGGTGAAACTACAAACGACGATAACCTGTACATCAAGTACTTGAACATAATTTCTCATGAAGCACCTACTTAGAGAACTCCATGTTGCTTGGAGAGAGATGGATTTCATACAAATTTGATGTTCTAAATTTAAGAAAGAAAAAAATTTCATGGATCGCGAGGGCCATCAAACGACTGACTCTTTCTCAAATTCCAATGAAGACCGTCGTGGATGCTGCGTAGGAAGTCATTGGTCGAATCAACTTGACACGCGGTTGGAACGGGCCAAGGTGCCATGCTGCACACAAGTGCGTCGCCCGGTCCCAATTGTTTCCGGTCCTTGCCATCAAACGACACCCAAGCATGACTTCTGCTATTGAAGGGAACAACTACTCGAACTGTCACGTGCTCGGGCAATATCAGAGGCCGAAAGGATAGAGAGTGTGGGCAGATTGGTGTAAACAGGATGCCGGGAACCTGAAAATCAATCGAAATTATTAATTGCATGTTTGGCAAAGCTTATAATTGCAACTGCTACTTAATTTTTAACCCCATATTTCTTGGGACCCACTGTTTATAAACACTTGAAAGCTTCAGCAAGCAAGCACAAGAATCGAAGGGAGGGTCTAACCGAGCATTAATCAAGAAAATTACTTAAAACTACATTTCTTTAGCTTTGAAAACAGGCTCAAAATGACAGGTGGTTCAAAACGTACCTGAGGATGAACCATTGATCCTCCAGCTGCCAGGGAATATGCCGTGCTCCCAGACGGCGTTGATAATATTAAACCGTCTCCTTGTACACAAGTGACAAAAGAGTTGTCACAATAGCATTCCAGATTTGTGAGGAACGATGAAATTCCACGGTCAATTGTAACTTCGTTCAGGACAAGCATTGGTCCTTCACTCTCGTATTCACTTTTAGCTGAATCCCGAATGATATGGCACTGCAATCGATGTCTTAACGTAATACTAATGGGACCGCGAAGGATACAATTAAGATACTCGCGGTAATGCTCACTGTCTGATTTTATGTTAAAGATATGTCCATAAGAAAGAAATGTAAATTTGGTGATCAACTTGAAATTTTGCTGAAAGTTCAGTAACGATCATTGCTGAAAGTACTCTAATGTGTACATGAAAAGAATCCCTTTACGGGAAGAATGAGGATACGGAATGGGGTCATGAAGCCAAGAGAACCTAAAGAGAATGGGACGACGGGAGGAACTGGCCCTTTGAACCTTGATGCAGCCTGCAAATACAGACCAGTAGTATCATAGTAGCCAAACCCAAAGTATAATACTATAATTATTCCAGAAATTGAAAAGAAAAATCAATTATGCTGAAGAAGACAAAACAGTTTACATACCCAAAGAACGGTTCCGTCTCCACCCAGAGTCACGACAAGGTCAACTTTCGTATGCAGAAGCAGCATTTCCTTCTCTTCGCAAATCCAGATAATGATGACAATGAAACAGAAACAAATTTTAAACAAATACAAGAAATCATCTCCTTTTCTAAGTTTTTTAACAGAGGAAAATTTCTCACAGCTTACCATCTTGCCAGGTTTGTACAAAGTTGTAGTACGATGACTCTGTCAAAAGTTCAGTTTTAACTCTTGGCTCCACAAAGATATTCAACTTTTTCTGCTCTTTTAACCATCTAGGACGAAAAAACAGGAATAATAAGTCAAACAAGTTTCACAGCCAGTTAAGTAAAATATAGTAAAGACACACGAGGAAATAAGTATGCCGCCAGTGGCAACAGAACTCCAGAGAGAAATTTAACACAAAAATCTAAGATATGGAATGAAACTTAGAGATGCACGCAACTAATTCCTCAAACTTTGGCCCATGAACTTTAATGTCAATATTTAAACTAGACAAAACAAATCAAATTGGATGTACATCGGCTCCTCAGCATTGGATAAATAAATAATTTGCTTGTATCAGAAAGCACTCCAAAGTGATGATGCTAAAGAAGAATTCTCTGATATGGATAATATATAACAAAAGAAAAGGTACAATATACAATAAAAATTGACAGAACTTCCAAAGTCCCCAAAAAACAAGTTATCCAACTAAACTATGGTGTAGAAGTTGTGACTTATACGGCCCTTGTAATGGGGATGAGATCAATTATTCGTAAACCCCACTTGTGAAGTCAATTCACTGATCATTCATATGGAGGATCACCGTATCAATTATGCAAATCTGAAAATGGGTAAAGACGTAAAATGAAAAACATCTTCACTTCCGTGAAAAGATGAGTTTCAGATATGGACCATGCTAGAAATACTACATGATTTACAAACTCACTTACTCACTACACACAAGAGGAGTGGGAACCACACAGCCGCCATTTTTGAATTCACTTGGGGTCCGCATTTTTTGTGAGAGTGAGTATACCATTTTGTAAAAATGTGTGAGTACAACTATCTTTATCCTTCAGATATTAACCATGAACCCATTCTTACTAAGTATCTTCTCAATTATATCAAAATTGAAGGCAGGACAATCAATTTAAGAGGAGAATAAAAATAAATATTGAACACCTTACAATCTTTAACCATCCTACCTGACCATTTCGAAACACAGAATTCGTACAGAAGTTGAATTGGGCTTGGTCAATATAAGCACAGTGCACGGAGGAGATTCCCACTTCAAAGAAATCTGAAAAAGAAAAAGTTCGTTTATATGGTACTACTGAAATCTGAGTCATAAGAACATCAAACCATTAAGATAATAAAATAAAATACAAATGGAATGAGACTTCAAAGTAACACCAGACAAAACTTCAAAAGCTCGATAGTAATAGCTATACCTGTTTACTGCTACGTTCTGCAGTTGTTATATTACCCTTTTCAAAAGAGACAATGTCATGTTTGTGTCGATCACTTTTTTCACCGTTGCAACACCATGATAGTTTAAATGATGCCTGTCTCCAGAAACCAATATTATAGTTTTTATTGATCGACTAGCCAATAATAAAATATCAATTGAAAATCCTATTTCACATCTTTTTTTAAAATATAACCAGGGATTTAGAAAACTATCTCGTTGCAGTAATATCAACAAAAAAAAAGCTGCATAACCCTACCCAACAACACAGTACTTCACGACATTATTGATTAAATTCTTTGCTGTGCTCGAACCTCATTGCCAATAAAATAAAGATCTACAAGGGCCTCTTCTCTAATTTTTCTTTCTTAAATTCAATCAATTCCACTCTTCCCCCATTCTCTATTTTCCTTTTTTATAGCACTTACAATCGACTAAGAAAGAACGGCAGTAACCATTTTGAGATTTGCAGAGTTATAAAGAATTGGTGAACAATTATAAATGAAGATAAGCACTGAATAAATCAATAAGGCTATAAGCTACGAGTTAACCAATGACTTACCTTCCTCATCATTCTATTCTGGACTCCACTTGAGGCAGAATCAGGTTCACCAGCTTGAAGAACCTCGTGAGCACAAATATCATCTTTTCCACTACACAACTCACATTGTTCACCAGTTTCATTGGACAACACAGTTTGGTCTACCAAATTTTCTGCTCTCTCATCATTTAACTCACTGCAATGCCCTCCAGATGACAGCACTGAAACAAGCCATTCTATTACTCACAAGAGGATACTTAATAAAAGTACAACATTTTATTGCACATGTAAAAATAAAGTGAAAACAGAAAAACTACACAAATTTCAGGAAAAGTGAAGAAAAAAACTATTTTCGGACCTTCCGATTCTTGGATACACAAATCACATAAGGTAGTATTAAAGTTAAGGGACCACATCATTATTAACTGATGCATTCATATTATTGAGTACATCTACATGATAAATGTCCTCATGTAAAACATAGAAGATTGTATGGAAGCTATCGACAAAATCCTTCCACCCATTCTTCAACCTCAGCCAATTGGCTAAGCTGCATAACTCACTGTGTATTCTTGCTTCAATGAAAATGTTTGGACTCCCTTTGCTTTGCACACAACATATGTGGTTTCAAACCATGCTTGACTTTGAACCGCTCTGAGAGCAGATTGATTTTGCCCGTGTATGCACGGGAGTTTGCACGCGTGGATATTTAAGCATTCATACGTTTTTCAAGTCTTACTTGTCTGAATAGACAAACGATTTCCGATGCTGAATTTTATGAAAATAATAAATTTAGCATGCCAATATATCAAGGGTCAACAAAATGACATTAGCAAAGAATCCACTTGTTCATAAAGAAAAATCCAGTCCAACATAACATTATCAAACATCAAAATATGACACTAATGATAACAACTACTTTTTATTATCCATACTTTGCAATACTGAAAATGAGGAGTGGTTATAAAATTTTGACCAAAATCCCACCAACCACACCTCACAAGAACCATCCATTCATCAAAATGAACTGGTAGTCTCAAACAATATTCCTTAATAGGTGTGACTCAACCCAGTATTGGCCTGTATCGTCTTAAATTTTACATGCAGATAGTTCAATTCCCTAAGAAAATTCAACCAACATCAATATGCAAATTTAGGCTTTGATTAGTGAAATTAAAATCACATACACAAATGCTACAAAGAATCCAATATTCAATAGACAAGTGCATCAATTGGTATATGGTAAACTTAGAAAGTACACAGAATTAAATGAACCTTGGTTCTCCAAATGCATATTACGTGCCCTCTCCAATTCATATTTACGCTTCCATTCGGCAGCCTCAGCTTGAGCAAAAGCCTTTCCTTCAGTAACTCTACGCAATGCCTTTGCAACAGCTAAAAACACGAAGAGAATTGTATTTTGAGTAACAGATTGTGCATCAAACTCTGACCGCAGAAAATAGTTCTAAAGATGAAGGATTGAGTAGGACGTACTTCTCAAAGCCTCAGAGAACTCAATGAGATGATCATCAATTCCCTGAACAAGAGGCTGTTGAATAAGTTCCTCAACGGCATTTTCTGAGCTTAATTGCGAGAACCAGTCACTAAAACCATTCTCTGCTGGTGAAACACTAGAATTTCCCTGTTAGTTAGCATGTTAGTCTTCAAAAAATATTTTTTCTACTTCAGTTGACATGATGAGTGTTATTAAGGTCTAGCAAGATTGATAAATAGAAAAATGGAGGAACGATGCAGTGATATAAATATCAAGTCAAAGAAATCTTGAAAAACAGAATGAATATATTGATTCAGTTGAGTGCAGTAAGCATAATTCATATCTAGATTTATTATGGAAATTAGAATCATATTTTAGGCCTTTACTAATACTCCACAACATGGGTCACTAGTTCTGTACGGACCCCATTCCAAAATCAAAGAGAGACTCGTTACAAAGGAGAATATTCTTCGTCGGTTTTACTTTGAATGTATATTACGATGCCCAAAGGTAGCATTACCATGCGATCCATTTCATTGTTTCCACTTCACTATAAAGGACCATTAAGATACATGGAAAAACACATCAAGTAAATCAGATTGAAATGAGCAGAGTGGCTTTATCATGCTATCCATTACATCATTTTCAGAAAGAAAATACAGATGCATTTGGAATATATAAAACAGTACTCAAACTTTTACGACAAAATGCAATAGAAAGAAGGATGTCAAATCCAAATGAACAAAGTATCAATATCATAGAATTTAGAGTATGGTATCTAAAATAATGAAATCAACGCTTTCCAACATCTTTGTTTCAAAATAGCTTGACTGCCTATTAATATTAAGAAGGGATTAACCTTATATACAAGCCCTCCGCCATATATGGAGATTCCATTTTAATAACATCTCTTCTACAATGCACAAACAAGATATATCTCGAATAACAAATCTATTATACTATTCACAAGTCGATAGATACCAATCTCAAAATTCATTATCAGCAATAATTCTGCATTAATTTACACACAAAAACATCTCTCATTTTTTTCTCTTTTAGCATCTATCAACTGTTTATTTGCCAGATAATAATGATACCATACCATACAAAATGCACTAGTATCCATGTCAGTGAACCTAAAGCTAATATTATCTGCGCCCAAACAGTTGAAGACAAAATGCGACACACCAGTTTCCTTTCTATCTATAAACTATAATTTCTACTCATATCACAATTTAGTTCCATGCCATAAAGGTGGAATTTTTAAGTTTAAACAGATTTTCGGGGGCAAAAAATAAAGTGATCATCGATAGACACGTGAACAAAATTATAA